AGTTATAATAAATGAGGTGAGATTCTTATTTTCTTCAAAAAGCACGAGCTGCGAAAAAAACTGGCGGAGTTGCCCGATTCTTACAAATGGTCGAGCCTAGGCTTACCAACGTGCGGTTCGGTTCTCCCATGCTTTGCCCAGGGGTTCGTTCCCGAACAGCTCGTGGCTTCGGCGTGGCCAGACAGACAAGCGACGCTGTGATCGACATCGATTGCTTGCGACGGGGGTGGTTAAACGAGGTGTAGTATTACGGAGAAGTGAATAGTTCTATTGGAATCTGACTGCCCTGGAAAAGAGCCTCTGCTGAGTGATGATGACCAAACCGCTGTCTTACCTGTTACCGTGTATGTAGTATCTTCTCCTCCCAATATTAACAATATACACCACAAAATTCAAGTGATATTCCAGAAAGAATAAACAGTGAAAAGAAGAAAATACCGCTCCGCGTCGTGCATTTACGCACACAAATCCGAGAGATGACATCTCTCAATCCCTCGCTCACCCCCTTTTCTCTCTCCTCCGCCATACTAATGCACGTGTGCTTCTCTCCTGCTCTAGTTTCCAAACATGTTTCCTCCCGGTCCTCCTGGCCCTCCTGGCCCTCCTGGCCCGCCGAATCCGCTCATGCCGTTCCCGAAGCCAGCGTGGTTAGGCGTCGTGAAGCCTTGGAACGTGTCGGCATCCTGGTAACCAGCCATGAGGAATGACCAATCCATCTCTCCGTCATCTCCAGACGCCGAACTAGAAGGAGCCATGGCCGGCTGAGGGGGACCAAACCCGCCACTCTGGTCCACCGGCGGAGTCATCATGACGGCGTTGTCTAGCGAGGTCGTCGACATCTCACGGGTACGTGGTCGAGGAAAGGCTACCGGCGGCTGCTCTGGGACGGGCCCCGTAGGATTCTCTGAGCGCGCCCTTCGCTTGGCCTCGGCGCGCTCCTGAAGGATCTTCATAAATCGCGGTGTTGCAACATCCTTTCCTGCAGCCCGCTGGGCATCGGAATGGGCTGTCCAGGCTTTGATGAATTGGTTACCGAAAACTCCGTGCATCGGGCTGTGAAGATTGGATAATAAACCACGAAGGTCATAGTTCGCCTCGATGGCTGCCCATGCTCTCTCTACCAGCGGTCCTGACTGGCGCTTGCGCAGTTCCTGAACAAGGAACATGTATGCAGGAAATGGGAAATAGTGCATCGCGTACCATCTATACGGTCGAAGACTCTCCGAGGACATGACTACATTGTCATGTTCTACCCATGATATGGCTTGCGTAGTCAGGGCATCTCGTTCGATCTCGCTCAGCGGCATGGGCTCGGCGTTGTGTCTCCGAACAAGATAATTGATGATTCGCATCTTGCAGAGCGCTGCCCGCGTCATAGTCATTGTAAAGAAATGGAGAGGAATCTTAGGGTCGCAATGGGTCAAGTACGTGCCCTCCATATGAGCACAGAATCCTTCAAGAGTGTATACCGGAGCATCTTGGCCAGCCAGACGGATTGTCACGGCGTGTGGCTTTCCTGGCTGTGCGGATTTTCCTGATTGCGGTGAGCCAGCGCAAATCTCCGGGTTCATCTTGAAGCTGTCTCGATTACTATTACTCGCCACCGCCATGGAAAGCTCGACGCGTGTTAGTGCGAAAAGCATCTCTGTGGGCCCTGTATGTGGCTTTGGAGGTTCTTTGCCATCAGCGTGGAGATCAGAATCATTGACGTTCAAAGGCTTCTTGCAGTCACAGCCTGAGGTGAGGGCGGTGACTGTTGAGCCCGTCATCTCTCCGACTCGCCGGTCATAGGAAACAAGCGTCCACCACAATCGCCGCCTCTGCTCGACCTCGAAAGGAGAGAGGCCATAGCCGTCGGGGTCTCGGTGAAGGCCCATCCGCTGGGCGATGCGAATGGCGATACCCATCATGCAAAACACCTGCCTCGGGTCTATGTACCACCTAACGGTCATCTATAGTATACGTTAGCGGGGATATGGTATAAGAGTTACTCTCTAGTGGTCCATTGAATAACCAATATGAGAAAAACGAGGAGTAGAGACTCACAAGATATAAGAGGTATGCCTGCAGGGTCAAGGGATCGGGAATCCGCATGAAACTGGCGTTAACCAGAGCCTGCTGAAGTGCTGGGAAATACCGGCCAAGAAGTTCCTGCTTTGACTCGCCAAAAATCTTCTGGATTTCAGCATCTTCAATGGAGTTGATAGAGATTACATAGATGCCAAACATGAGAGCCTCTATATTCTTCGGGGCCTCGTGAGGCCGAGAGGTTGCCTCGATAATCTTGCTCTGAATGCTGGGCACATGTGTAATTTTCAACAGGGGATTAATGTTGTCAATGTATATCTGCCAAAGTTGCAGCACCTGGACGGGAGAAGGGTGGTTGTGAGTGACGGGGGCAAAGGAGCCTCCGATGATAAAAGGGAAGCCATCTTGGTTTTCAAACATCTTATCAAAAGCAGAATGAATGAAAGACCCCTTCTTGAAATTCTCATCCTCATCTTCGGATGAGTCTTTCAACAGCTGCTCACTGGCTCTAAACTGTTTCACAACGGCAGTCAGCATCAAGAGTAAGACAATGAGGATAAGTGTACGTAAATCACGTTGGGCCCGGCTCTTACCTCTTTATGGAGAGAAAACCAAGCTCCAGGAGGCTCTTGAGGACTAATAATAAGCAAATTTCTCGAATCAGCATCAAATTCTCTTTACTTCCTTCCATGTCCTAAGCGACATATATCTTTGTCTGATAGCATGGGAACTTATATGAACAAGTACTTACGCGACAGTAGTAGAAGAGCCAGCAAGTGCTTCTGGAGAGGTCTTTAAACCCTCGAAATCGGTTTCAAGCTCGTCAACATCATCTCCGAGGTTGCCGTCCGCCCTGTAGTCGGGATCGATGGCATCAAATTTGACGCCATTCTGTGCCAGCAGCGTCTCATACTTACGCAACCTCTCAAGCAGGTCTTTTTCCTGCAGCTTTTTGCGCCGCCGCCTCGGAGGTTGCGGAGGAATCACCCGACATTCTGCACCAGCCTTGACGCAGTTGGCACAAGGCTTGTTCCTGTCGCAGCGGACCTTGCGCTGTTGGCACAGGACACAGCTAGTGCCCCGGGTGAGTTTGATCACCGAAGGGTCAACCGGAGGTGAATGTTGGGGAGGCCGGCCTTGGCCTTGAGAGGCGGATGGCGGCGGCGGGGCTGAGCCGGGGCCTGGCAGGCGAGCAGAAGCTTCAGCAGACATTCAACCTAGAGGACGGGCAATTGGCTGCTAAAAAAAATGTCCCGATCTGGAGGGCCGATCCAGTCCAGTGGTATCAAAGGGCGCTGGCCCAACCCAATACTCTTGGCTAGTCAGCGCAGCGGCGAGAGCTGGCACGGACTGATTGGCGGACGCTGACACAACCCTGCATGCAGCTGAGCTGAATACAGTAGATCTGTTTGCTCAGGGCGCTTTTTACGCTGGAGATGCAGCGCCTGTACCTGTAGGCTGTAGGGCTGAGGCTCGGCTGGGGCCGTCGGTTGCGAAAGAGTCGTCTCGGACCCGGGCCCAGACTTTGTTGGAGACGGTTCGTCTGGCGATATTTGAGGGGAGCGAGGAGAGAGAAAGCGGGGGCTCATTTGCGGTTTTAGGCAGCCAGGCCAATGGGAGGCAGATTAGCAAGCCGGTGGGGATTCCTGTGGCATGGAGCCGCTTTTTACCTTGTTGGCCAAGATTTGATGGTTTGAATGCGGAAACATGGCGTGTTTTTGCTTTGTTGGTGACGAATATCATGACGTTGGTCGACCAGGAACAATCTTTGGAGGAGATGGAATAGAATAGCCTCAGGCACCAGGTAGCAAATGGGTTATGAAGCCTTATCGGGTGAAATTCTCTATCGATTAGATTGGAAGGCTTACCTTATACTGTACATGCAAATGTATCTGCTCTTGTACTTGGCCCTGCTGGAATGCAGCTACAATCAAGGAATTACATGCGAATATTCACATGATATCGAAGCCGATTGCTTCAGGGTCATAAGAACAGTGTTGTTGATGTCATTAATTCGATGTAAATACCTTGACAGGCAGCCTTATACGAATAGTGGCGATACTCGGTAAATCAAGTGTATAAGTCAGCCTATCTAAAGATCCATTTACATCTCCAATGACACGCAATACCTCGGGTACCTTAGCAGATGCTGACTACCCGGCATCTAGTGCTATAAACTTCAATAAGTAGGCATCGTACTGCTCTGTACAACTGCTATAATGCCATAATGGCTTCTTGATACTGTGTGTCTTGACGATGCTCTCTTACCCTCACACATTGTAAGCTTAATTGACGAGTACGTGTAAGCCGAGCTAAAACAAGTCTTGCTCAGCCCATCTATCGTCTTAATGTACAAACTTACCCTCCCATGCCACTCAGCACTGCTTGTACTCCGTATCAGAGTCGTAATGCCAACACGCGTATGAGCGACTACAAGTATCATCAGCCCCATTTCATCTTTGCTTCAACATTCATTTCAACGGCGTAAAAAGTCGAAACATACCCGAAAATGGCCAGCAAGACCAACAGACAACGGTATAGGATTCAGCTCGGGCTTCGGTTCGGGACCGAGAGCAAACGCCACAGCCCAACATGTACTAGCGCCCAGTTCCGTGCCCGAGTGCATGTAAGTCAAAGGGAGGCTCTTCAAACTCACGGAACCGAAGAATGCAATGACGGGCACGATATGCATTCTTTTCTTTTTTCTGTCTTGTCGGGCATGCCAAATATGATGTGACCGAAGGCAGACGGTGCCGGGTACGCGTAGCCACATACGCGGAAGAATGTAGTTTATTTTCTTCTATAAACTTCAAGGCTGGCTTTTAGATGTCTTCTTTACCAGCTTTCAAGCATAAACAACCATAGATATTGATTCAACAGAGTCTATCTTGAATTCTTTCGTCTATTTATGTGCACCATCTAATAGTTCATCAAATCTCTTCACAATGTCTCTCCCCGACGAAAAAAAAGGGATGGAGACGGCACCGTCTCCCATCCAGCTGTCCACAACCTCTCTATCATCATCACATAATTGGCGAAACATCGATGCTGCAAGCGACGACACGAACAGCCCGCTCAAGAAAGAGACAGATTCACCGCCGGCCGAAGACAATGCTGAGGCCGCGAATCCCCAGGGCGCGGCCCCTGACAGCGCCGAGGCAAGCTACAAACCAGGATCTCTCAAGTTCTGGCTCATCATCATCAGTGCTTTTGTGTCCATGTTCCTCGTTGCTCTAGATCGAACCATCATCTCTACTGCAATTCCTACAATCACCGACGACTTTCACTCCCTCTCAGATATCGGCTGGTATGGATCATCGTATATGCTTACAACGGCCGCCTTTCAACTGATTTGGGGGCGCATCTACCGCTTCTATGATCTGCGTTGGACATTCTTATGCTGCATCGTCATCTTTGAGGCTGGCTCTGCCATTTGTGGTGCTGCTCCAAGCTCCTCTGTTTTTATTGCTGGTAAGTTTCCAGTGAAACGCAGGGAAAATATGCATGTCCGAGACAAACACCTAACAAATCATACAGGACGTGCTATCGCAGGAGTGGGTTCTGCAGGCATTACGACCGGATCCTTACTCACGACTATTGACATGATTCCATTGGCGAAGCGTCCCATGTTTCAAGGTACCACAAGAATCCCAAAAGTCTCAGATATCGAACTTGTCTCCTAACCTTCTACAAACTAGCCGCGTTCGGTCTTGTGTTTGGTGTATCCAGTATTACTGGCCCCCTTATGGGTGGCGCCTTTACAGAAAACGTTTCATGGAGATGGTGCTTCTACATCAATCTACCCGTCGGCGCCGTTGCCTTCGTCTTCCTGTTCTTCTTTCTGAGACTTCCCAAGAAGACTCACCCTCCCGCCACCATCAAGCAACAGATCCTTCGTCTCGACCCTCTCGGCACGTTCTTCTTCATTCCATCTACTGTATGCCTCTTGCTTGCCTTGCAATGGGGAGGATCAAAATACGATTGGAGCAACTGGAGAATCATCTTCCTCTTCATTATGTTTGGACTGACTGCCGTGGCATTTGCCATTGTCCAAATCAAGATGCCCGAAACCGCATCACTGCCTCCCAAGGTCATCATTCAGAGGACCATGCTCTCTACCACATTTTACATGCTCTTTGTTGCAGGCGCCATGATGCTCTTGGTTTACTTCATTCCCCTGTGGTGTAAGTTCAGTCCAGCCCCCTCTGTGATCGGGGCATTGACACTGACATGTTATTTAGTCCAAACTACGCATGGCATCAGCCCCGTGAGATCTGGCATTTATACGCTTCCCCTTGTGCTGAGTCTCGTCGTCTCCGTCACCATATCTGGATTTATGACCCAGAAAATTGGATACTATTTGCCGGCTTTAATAATTGGTCCCTGCGTAATGGCCGTCGGCGAAGGCCTTCTATACACTTTGAAGCCAAGCTCCGGGTCTTCTGAGTGGATTGGATACCAGTTTCTCGCTGGATTTGGATTGGGCTTTGGGTTCCAGACCGCAAATCTTGCTGTCCAGGCTACGATCCCAAAGAAAGAGATTCCTACCGGAGTTTCCATCCTCTTCTTTGCCCAGCAACTTGGAGGTGCCATTTTCATTTCCGTCGGCCAAACAATTTTGAACACCTTGCTCGTTTCCAAATTGGAGAATGTGCCCGGACTGGATCCTAAGAAAATTATCACAACTGGTGTGACTGAGTTACGCAATGTCGTTCCTCCGCAGTTTGTTTCGACTGTGATTGATGCGTACAATTACGCGTGCACACACATCTTTATTGCTGCATTGGCGTTGACCTGTGCTCAGCTAGTTTGTGCCTGTTGCGTGGAATGGGGAAGCGTCAAGAAGCCGAAGAACCAGCAAGAGAAACCACAGTGAATAAAACATTCATGGATTCAACATTCACCTGAACTATTGGCGTTGCGGCGGGATAGATAACTGGAAAACGGACTATATGCTAGATTAACTGGCTCTTTGGAATTTGGGAAACTTACTCTCCTCTCTGTGCATGTAGAATTTAATCACTTAGTACAAAATAAAATAATGGTAATCGGCTAACATCATGTTTAATTTTTTCTTTTCCCGCTGTTGACCCAGTTCACTGGATCAACACTTGTTCACATATCGTTATGAATCCAACCACGACGATGTTACTAGCACTCGACCTTTACTATATAACCGCTCCAACATGTGCTTTGCTGGAGCTCAACTCAATCCCACCATACAAACCAAATCATCAAGAACTACCAAAGCTTCGCTCTCTCACTCTTTATCTTCAAAATGTGTAAAGTCACCAGAACCAAATACTCTTGCCGACATACCGCCACCGAGTATCAGTTCCAATGCTCTGACACGAGCGGAAGATGCGAAAAGGAAATCACAAACAGAAACTCCAAAGACCAGTGCCAAAAGTGCAACCCAGATAATCGCCAAAAGAAAATCGTGGACATCTACGCCAAATACACCGAGGAACTGAAGAAGTTGGCGGAGCTGGCAAAGGCTGAGGACTGTAAGACGATGACGACGCAACTGGAGGACATCATCAAAAGTCTTCCAGAGCAGAGGATCAAGGCTCTGGTAGAGATGCAGGAGAAGACTGAGATTGAAATGGCCGCGAAGAAGCGAATCGAGGCAGAGTTGGCTCAAGAGTCGAGGGGGAGATGGCAGTCTTGAGGTTTATCTTGGCCGATTTTCGGAATAGGCGTATTGGGGGGTTGTATGGATGCTTGCGACATTATTTGATAGTCTAAGAGTGGGGTTATTTTCGGTCTTGTATTGATTGAAATACTTGAATTGAATGTGCATCAATCCTGTAAAAAGCCATTTTGAGTAGTACATATCTGGAGTAGAGGTGAGCCTCTTTTTCATCTATAGAGAGAGCTGTTATTGATCTCCGTATTCATCACACATTCACGGAACAGTATTTTGCCGAAATTTCGCATATTTGAACTTTTTTCCCTTTCTTTTTATTATTCATTTGGTGGTATCATCGTCATCTGTTTGCTCTCGTCTTGTCCTCCGTGGCATGGAATCCTAGCCACTCTCCCAACATCCCTCCGGGTTTCGGTACGGGACACTCTCTCGTCATTCGCTCCGCTGCACGCTCAATCTCATCGTCTGTCGTCTGGTTGAACTGCACAAGTCCGTCCTTGGCGTCGACGTCCCTCCTCTTCCATCTCTTCCGTCTGCCGTTCTCGTCGACGATAATCTCTCCATCAGCGTACTTTGTCCGCGGGACCGGGCATGGTAATAAGTGCGGTAGGGCCACAACAAAGAAGCTGGCAAGGACCGTCGTAGCGAAGAGTGACGAGGTCATTCGGGACCTTGGGTGCAGATGCGGCGGCATGGTGGGCAATCCCTCGGCTGTCAGCGGGATTGATTGACTGTGGTGTTTGAGGCTGTAGATCAGATTTGACACCAGCTGTTAGCTATGCCGTTCCAACACCAAGTGACAGGTAGAGTATAGAGGCATGTGTATGTAAGCATTGAAGACTCACAAGGTAATTGTCGCATGTTCCCTCAAACCACGATGCGCATCCAATTGGAGGTTGGCAGTCCCAACTGCAGCTGGATCTCGACAAGCTCAGCAGAAAAAAGGCGCCTGGTATGATCGACGCAGACATTCGATTAAGTGTGCCCTCATTGGCTGCGCTGTTAGTGGGAGGTGGGAGCTTCTCGGAGCGCGGCACAATGTAATTCCACCGGTCCCAGAATCCCGGGCTGCTGCAGGTCCTTGCTGGAGCGCTAAAAGACAGCCGCTGGAGCTGCGGCGATAGCGATCAATCAGTGCTAGAGATGAAGCGGGTTAGCGGCATGCCACTCTAATACTTCCGCCCGAAACGCAGCCGCATCTTGAACGCGATAGACTAAAGTGGTGATCCATTTTGAATCTTCGACTTCAATCTTTCAGCTGCGCTTCGCGTGACTCTGCCGTTTCCCACGCCAAACGGCCATTCTGTGTTGCAATAACCTCTTTACCGCGACATGTTATAGCCAGTTGTTATTTCTATCCGATTATCGCATCAGTTTGACCGGCGCAACTCTCGTGTGGCGTCAGTCACTCTCTCTCGCTGCCGCCCATCATGAGCGATCTCGACAAGTCCGTTACCGGCCCTGGCCTAAAATATCGGTTGCCCTGCTAATATACCTTGTAGAGCGATCGCGCAGCTGCGCTCATGCCGCCCCATTCCGGAAGACCAAGTGCGGGAGCTCTGTCACCGTGCCCGAGAGCTTCTTATCGAGGAGGGCAACGTCGTCACCGTGACGGCGCCAGTAACAGTACGTCTGTCTGTCTCTCGGAGACTGAGATTGCAATGAGGAGGATTGGTACTAACCAATGCGACTTTACTACGGTAACAGATATGTGGTGATATCCACGGCCAGTTCCACGACCTAATGGAGCTTTTCCGCGTCGGCGGCGATGTTCCCGACACCAACTATCTCTTCATGGGTACGGCCCTCCATGCTAATCCTGATCAATCGCCATCATCTCCTCTTAACGTTCTTTAGGTGACTTTGTCGACCGTGGCTTCTACTCTCTCGAATCATTCCTCCTCCTCCTCTGCCTCAAAGTTCGATACCCAGACCGCATGACACTGATTCGGGGCAATCACGAGTCACGGCAGATTACGACAGTGTATGGTTTTTACGATGAATGTCTTCGCAAGTACGGCAGCGCAAACGTTTGGCGCTATTGCTGCGACGTATTCGATTACCTTGCCCTCGGTGCTATCGTTTTGGGCGCCTCCAGCACTCTCTCCCCCGGCTCGCCAGAAGACGATGATACCGAGATTGAAGTATGCGATCAGGCTGGCTCTATAATCAGCCGGTTTCCCCGACAGCCCGCCAACCAATCTTCCCAGGAGAAACTCGACAACTCCAATAAAGCCACAGTGGACAAAACGGGCCCTCCCGGCACAGGAGCGTCTGGATCCAGCAGCGGCAGCGTGGGAAACCCTACGGGGGCCATCCTCTGCGTGCATGGTGGATTGAGTCCTCTTGTTGACACAGTAGATAAGATTCGACTCATTGATCGGAAACAAGAGGTACCTCACGAAGGAGCCATGTGCGATCTTTTGTGGTCTGATCCGGACGAAATCGACGGTTGGGGTCTCTCCCCCCGAGGAGCAGGTTTCCTGTTCGGGGCCGATATTGTCAAAGTCTTTAACCACCGAAACGATCTTAGCCTCATTGCGCGTGCGCATCAGCTTGTCATGGAAGGGTTCAAGGAAATGTTTGACGCTTCCATTGTCACCGTCTGGTCGGCCCCTAATTACTGCTACCGATGTGGCAATGTCGCCGCCGTCCTGGAACTCACCGAGGACGAATCAGGGACCGGCATCTTCCAGAGGACGAATGGAGACGTTGGTCGTAGTTCTGGTGGCATAGTTGAGCCGAGAGGTGGTCCCAAGAATGGGCCTGCTCGGCGGTATCGTGTGTTCCAAGCTGCGCCACAGGACTCTAGGGGGATGCCTGCCAAGAAGCCAGTTGCGGATTACTTCTTGTAAGGGAGGTATATTGGCTTGGTTTGCTTCATTTGTCTGCCTTTCCAGCACTTAGAGGGGTTTCTTCTCCTTTGCTCACATTTGCCGTTTTGTTTCTTGGTTATCGATCAATCCAGGAGCGGCAAAGGATAAACTTGTATTTTTTGAGGGGCGAACATATCGGCGTACGGAGGATCATAAATGCAAATACAATCACAAGGATAGTGCTCTTTTCAACAGACGTTCGCTCATACGTCATCGTCGCTTGTCATATTTCTTTAGGCTTGTCGCACTTGTATATAACGCATACAGCATCGAAATGCTTTGATCATCTGTATGTCTGTGACTACGGTTTATGTTTGCAAATACGAAGCTTTGCACACCCGCCTGTTTGATGTGTAGTAACATTGCTCTCTAGGGTGTTGGCCAATCTAAGGTTGCATCAGAGCCTTGTGAATCCCCACTAGCTCTATGCACGAGATTGATTGCTTCTCGCCTCTCATTACATGAATGCATGTTATGTTAACCAATTATAACAAAGGCACGTGGTTTATCACCTGTAGACTCAGCTGCTGGGTCATCAGGTACCTGTTGGCGCAAACCCGCCATTGCTGCCTTATCCCAGATCCTTCTCTTCAGCCCTAGCAAACATTCAATCCTACAACATCATTTCCATTCTTATGTTCTTTTTAATTCGGCAGAAGTATTGACTCTTCACTTCCAGTAATATTCGCAATGAAGGGCTGGAAGTTTCCTATTAGAAGCAAAAAGCTTAAAGCCCAAGAGACTACTGAGGCTTCTATCTCAACAATCCCAAAAGAGAGCCCAGCCCAAAAAGGACTTGTTATGGCAGGCAATGCCTTATCATCTGTCGCTTTGCCATACCGTAAGTCGGCCATTCTAGGACCGGGTGTTGAATAAAGCTAATACTGTGACCAACAGAACCACCTCCATCGAAAGACGCACAGATTGCACCCGAACAAAAACAGGCAGCGGGACACGAAGAAAGAATTGCTAAAGCCCTGTGGGACCGAGTGCTACTGCTAGTAAACGACTCAAAAGACCGAGATGCCATATATCTGATCGACGAAATCGAAAAACATGTTCCCAAGGATGACTCTCCTAAGGCTAGACCGATAGTCATGACAGACTTGGTGTCAAGCGTCAAAGAGGCGATGGAGCATCAATTTAAGGATAAGCACGGTCATAATTCGACGTCTGCCTATGTTGAAAAGACTATTTCCATCCTCAACCAGTTCATCTCAGTAGGTGATGTTGCAGTCAGCTATGATCCAGTACATGCAGCCCTCCCCTGGGCTGCTGTACGAGTGGTCCTTGTGGTAAGTAACACCAGACGCTTGAGCTCAACAAAGGCTGACAGAAGAATGTCTTGAATAGAGCATTACCTCGAATCATCAGTTAAATATACAAATATTAGGAGGATTGGCTTCTGTTACTTCACTGCTCCTCCAATGCAACATGTATCAAAGGTTATACTTGACTTCCAGCTCTACCATGGATGGTATCAAGGAGGCTCTAGAGGCTCTCGAAAAATCCCTTGTCGATTCATACGCCAACTCTTTGTTTTTCCTCGGCTTTCTGTATTCTCATCGAAACAAATCTATGGCAATAATAGCTCCATTTTTACTCAACGACGTGGAGAAGAAAGTTAAAAGTCTCGACGAGAGCAGTTCCCAACTTACTAAATGTGCAGACGACTGTGAGAGGTTCTGTTCTTTCAATCGGAACAAATCCTCCCAAAAGCTTTTTGAGGTCATTGATAAATTACAGCACTCGTCAAATTACCACTTGTAAGATTAATTATTCTCCATTCAAGGTTGAGGCTCTAACAATACATAGAATATTGCTTGAAAGTATACAAAGGGAATTCATTCTAAGTAAGCTTCAAGTTGCTCAAGGAGCAGCTTATGATGACTTTTCCGAAGCATCCAGAGATGAATGTCACCCTGACACGCGGCTTGAAATACTTGACACCATATATAAGTGGGCGGCCGATCCTTCTAGTCCTTGCATTTTCTGGTTACAAGGGTTGGCCGGAACGGGCAAATCAACCATAGCGCAGACAGTAGCAAAAGGTCTTGACGGGAAAAGTTTGGGCGCAAGTTTTTTCTTCAAAAGAGGCGAGGGCGACCGTGGAACGGCTCGGCGGTTTTTTGCAACAATTGCGAGCCAAATGATCCGCAAGCAACCTATTCTGACGCAGGTTCTCCATGGCATACTTCAGGAAGAACCCGAGATCGGAAGCAAACTGCTTGAGACTCAGTTTCGAGAACTGTGGGCTCGTCTTCTCAAGGAGGTTCATATGGAGCCTACTCCGGAGCAGACGACGATTGTGGTCGTTGTTGATGCACTCGACGAATGCGATCCGCCACAGGATGCAAAGCTTTTGATCAAACTACTAACGGCGCACAATATGGATTCTCCTGTTAAAATCAAGATATTTCTCACCAGCAGACCAGAATATCATATAAATCAGCAGTTCAATATTGCAGACAGTATCCGTCAGAATATGATACTACATCGGGTGGAAGAAACTATAATCCAGAGCGACATTAGGATTTTCTTAGAGAACGACATACAGGAATACAAACTAGAGTATAACCACAATGAAGAAAAGATGGAGCAAGATGAACGGCTTCCAGTGGACTGGCCTGGAAAAAAGACACTCGATCGACTAGTACAAATGGCGAGTCCTCTATTCATCTCTGCTGCAACGGTATCTCGAATGCTCAGGAACGACCAGTGGCCAGCGACGCCTGATCAAAAGATTGAATACATATTGAAGTTCAGTACAAGAGGGGAAGGTCATGTGGAAGACTTGTACCGTTCAATTTTGGCTCAAATCATGGATAAAATTCCAATTCATGCCAGAGACAAGTTTACCGTTGAGTTTCAGAAAATTGTTGGGTCGGTTATTCTTCTTGCCAGCCCTCTATCTGTTTCTGCCCTCTCCGATTTGATTGGGTTTCAAAAGAGTGAAATATACAGCAAACTAAACCCCCTTTCTTCTGTGCTGGATGTCCAATCTGCGGATACGCCGATCAAATTATTCCATCTTTCATACCGGGATTTTTTATTAGATGAGAATTCGTTTATTAGCGAGAACGGCATGTCCTGCCGAGGATTACGAATCGAAGAAGCAACAATTCATGCGTGGCTAGCAGAGCGATGTGTACAACTGCTATCGACAGCTTTGCATAATGATATCTGCAATCTTGAGGACCCAGGCGTGGCCAGGGGGGATGTCAAACAAGACACAATTGAAAGAAATTTGCCCCAGGCTATAGCTTACGCATGCATCTATTGGGTTCACCATGTTCAAGAGCGAAAGATAGTGCTCCAAGATGGAGGACCAGAGCATAAATTACTTGAAGCCAAGATACTAAATTGGATCGAAGCATTGATCTGGCTTGGAAGAATCAACGAAGGGGTTGACCTCATACTTGCCTTGAAGACACTTGCCGATGTAGGTTTCTCTCAAGATACCCAATTTCCCCAATGGTGTACTAACCCTTGCTACTCAGAGATACCATTGTTTGGAGCTATCAAAATTGCTCCAGGATGCCAACAGATTTATCCTCTCTTGCAGACAAGCAATTCAAGAAGCACCATTGCAAATCTATAATTCAGCACTCGTTTTTTCGCCAACGAATAGCATTGTTCGGAAGACTTTTGAATCAGATGGTCCAACTTTTATCAAACAGATGCCTCAGGTCGATTCTGATTGGTCGGCTTGCGTCCAGACCTTAGAAACTACAGACTATGAAGACTCTTTGTCGAACCTCATCTTTTTGTCCAACGAGAAATTGATAATCAGCGGCTACGGCAGCGGTGTCGAGATCTGGGACCTGAAGACGGCCTCTTGCCTCTATGAGTTCGATACCAAGGGAGGAGAGATAGGGGACTTTCTTGTATACCCAAATGGCGGATTCATAATTATAGAAAGAGACTGTGTAGAGCTTTGGGACATCGAAAATCAACAATGTCGACGAATATTCCTGCCTCGTCAGAACTCTGGACTTGTATCCTCATCGGTTACCGGAGATACTCTATCCATCTTATCATCAGACAGATCTTACACAGCCATCAATTTACCATCTGGTGAATCTACACGTGTTCAACTCAGTGCGTTTCCTAGTTCCGGGTTTACGAAAGCATACATTTCTCAAGATGGCAAATGGGCTGCCTTTTTCGATTCATTTAACATCGTTACATGGGATCTCCAGGCTAGTATGATTTACCGAGAATTCAAAAGTGAAATGCACAAGATTGCTAAAGTTATCTTCGACCACGATGGACACAGTCTAATCATTGGATATGAAAGAGGCGATATTCAGTTCTTAAATACCAAGACGGGAGAAACTGAATTTTTTTTTAACGGACAGGTTGGATGGGTTACAGCGCTCATGCCATCTCATAATAAAGAGATACTCGCAGTTTCAGGCGGTCATGGGGCAATTGCGATCTGGGATGTCAAAAACCAAATTTTACGACACTTTCTTACCGGCCACCCAGATTCGATCTGGAACATGGCTTTCTCTCCAGACGAAACAATGCTTGCATCCTACTCAACTGACCTGATCAAAATATGGGACTTGCATACTGCACCTTCTATAAATTCTGAGTCTCGTGTTACCAGTAACATTACAAATATGTCTCTGGACTCGAAGGGTCAAACGCTCTATTATTCAAACAAGTCCACTATTAGCATACTGGATCTGAAAGATATGAGCTGCAGACAATTGGCTATCAGCAAACCCGATGACTCGGTGCTCCGCGTTGCATTTTCAAGTTTCAAGCCCTTGGCGGCAGTCCTGTTTGACCAATACATAGAGGTTTGGGACTTGACCCAGTATCGTCAGATGCCGATATTGCAGAATATACCAGTACCAAGGACGTCTATTGATGGATCTGAGAACTGGACAAACTTACAATGTGTTTTCTCCAAGGACAATCGGATTTACATGTCCAGCTCCTACCCCTCTACTAGCCGTTGTCCGTCTGAGGTGTATATTTTGGATTTTGCTGCCGGCAATTCTAGGAGATTATTGAAGACATGTGAAGCGTACATTTGGAAAATTATCACATCATCGGATGGCGCGAAAGTGGCATTCATCGAAGGGGGGTTCTTTCGGCCGACACAAATTCGTATTGAGGATTTTTCCACGGGTCATCTAATACCTGTGTCTATTATCCACGCAGATCTGGCAGATCTCACCAACCCATACGCAACATTTTCAGCGCAGGGGACGCAGTTAATCGCCATTGCGCGAAACGGGCTTATCGAGATGTTTAATACGTTGACAGGAGCAAAAATTCTAAGTCTCTATCCTCATCCAGGCATAAATACCGACTATATGCATTTTGAGTTTCCTTTAGCCTATGTCAACGTAGATGTTACTGTCAACGAGGATATGCCTATTGAGAAAGCCAGACAGTCAATCTTAAAGAAGTATTGGATATCTCCAGATAAAAACTGGCTGATGAGAGATTCGAAGAGAATATTATGGATACCTCCAGAATATCGCCCATCTCATGTTTTTGTATCTCAATCTCAGTTTATTCTAGGGTGTGGGGGCCGGATTATTACAATGGTACTTGACGGATTATAGTATAGCAGTTGCTTCTTTAATAATTAAAGGGAAATCCTAGCCAGCATCCCGTGTCTCACACATAGGTAGTGCTAATACAGGGGAACGCCTGTTCAGCCCCCAACTGCGCTATCCAGCATCCCGTGTCGCAAATAATATCAAATCAATACTAGACGAATTTGTATTATAGTAGTACATACTAGAAAAGAATGGCTATAGTAAAGATGAGAGAAAAATGTAGCTGGAGCAGTAGATACTAGAAGGATATAGTTATTAGCAGATGCTGGCTAGTAGAAAGATGTGGTCATAGTAGTAACTACCTACTAGAGGAATATAGCTATGGTAGCAGAAAGCAGTAATAGTAGCATACCTTATATAGAAGAACTCAACTGGTTATTTCCAAGTTACTATTAAGGTGAATGTCTATGAAAACGTAATAAACAAACGGCTTTCCGGTTCCAATGCCTCAAACTTTACGCAATCGCTGGGGTGCTGAATAGCTGCTCCTCAATATAAGTACAAACGAGAGAAACACAAGATGTCAAGTACATGTACTATCAGCAGATTCTTTGGAGCAGAGTTCAGACCTAGTGGGACGAAGGATTCCCCCACGAACTGAACACATATATGAAAAGCAAGCCAAGCAATGGGATGCGTTGGTTTTAACCTTAATCTATACGCTTGAAAATCCTTTTCTGAATTCTATTTTCTTGATAATGTTTGCGATATAGAAGCCGACTAACTTGGGCAGCTCCATGCATTGGGAATTCGAGTCCACCCCATCTCCGCTAACACGGAGGCAATTACATAAAAGCCAACACCTCCAACTCCTGGGTAATGCTGTATAATGCAGGACGCTTGTAGGTGTGCATACTATTATATGCTCTTAAATTCTCTCTTTTTTTTCTCGCTCATTCCGGCATTGCTCGGATATTCGGAAGGGTTACTTCATCCAAGCCAGCATAATTAGGGATTCAAGTTGGCATAGTTGTCTAATCCAAGTAAGAATGGCGTTGAACTTGATCATCTATAGATGAGCTTTACTGATCCCCCTATAAACAGTAGAGCAAAGCACTAGCCTAAACTACTATTAATACAGTCTCCTCTTTCTCATTTAGTTTCCCTCTTGTCCACTCAATATCACCAACTGCATCCTCTCCCAATATCCTCACAGCGCCTCCAACTTCAGAATGCACAACTGGAGCAGAATGCACAACTGGAGCAAGATGTTGTCGTCCGGCCTTGTATTATCGTATCTAATAGCAGGCGCGGTGGGATCATGCGGCCAAGGGTTTATGCTTATTAAAGGACATTCGAGTCCACAGTGTCATTCATCTGTCGAGGAGTTTAGTTTCAGCAAGTCCACGACGCACACCAATGCGCTGATGGATTTGACGTCCTTCTTAGTTATAAACGACTTGACCGGTGCTCCGAACGCTGGACTTAACACGTACAACCAGCCGAACTGGCAAGGAACCCCGTCCTTCATACCCCATGTGCTTCTTAACCCTGGAGATTGTTGGACGACAAAGGGCCTGTTCAAAAGCTTAGAGATACTAGGACTCAGTACGAAAAGAAACGAAATACCGCCGGTTGCCCTGGAACTGACGGGCGCTGCGGAAAATGACACTGCTGCTGGGAATCAGACAGCACCTTGGAAGCGAGGGGATCCCCCTAGGAATTACTACCTCCTCGATCTAGAGACAGGAGTAATCACAAAAACCGCTCCACCATTGACCAGGCGAGATGCAGTCCAGAGCCCAGCTGGTAGACGGTATACCCAGGGGCAAGTTACCCTCAGGCTGCTGAATGAGGGCACATCAGGTGGCCGGACTTTCGGCCTTTCGGAGGGCAAGGTTTATACCTTGGCCAAGGACATATGCCAACAATGGGATGGGCAAGATGACGCAGTTTCCACTCTCCATGATGATTGTGGGAACTCCGTGGAGCTGTCTTAGGAGCCGACGGAAAACGCGAACCTGGACACTGTCCCTTCTAACCTCTTGTATTCGACGGCGTATAAGTTTGCTTATTACGAAGGATCACGATTAGTTCAGTGCCAGGCATTGATTGGGTTTTGGAACAATGAGGCGACAGTGAGATATTGGCATCTTATTTTGGAGAGAGTGTGACGATGAAGAGATGTCCAGGTTCTCAATCTCAACACATATATATGAGATCTATGATAAACACATTCCCTTTCCCAGAGACATGTTTTGAGCTTTAAGACTCCATAACAACATGTTCTAGCTACTGATGCACCAAATGGCACCATGATCTAAAAGTTCGTACCATCAGCTTGCTGGATAAATTCTAATCTCGCAAATTCCCAGTGATTACAACTAGGCGTTTCTGGGCATCCACCCCCCAGTAGTGATTTGACATGGAGGAATATCGGTACTGTAAAAATGTAAAGCTCTATAGAGATAGAGGTGGGTGCATGAGTATATACATGTCCCTCGTATAGCAACCACATCCTCTCTTCCACTTTCTGCATCATTTCCGGAAGTGATAGGGTTGGGACTCTCTATCCTTCCGTAATCTGGTGAATACTGGGTCTTCAGATTCCTCTTGCACAGGATCCCTCTTCAGCAGTTGAATAATCTCGGCATTCTGCTGTTTGACACTTTCCAGATCCCTTTTGACGACAGATAGCTCCTCATTTAGTTCAGCGAGCCGAATCTGCATGTGTAACTGCGAATCGGATACCCTCTTCTTCTGGTCTTCGATCATAGCATGTAGCTGGAGCAACTTGAACTTGTTCTCCACCAGTTGATAATCGTCCTTCTCGACAAGCGAGCTCTTCGCATCTTTGCAGGCAGTGTGCTCTGATTTAATGGACAATAGCTCTAATATGGGTCTCTCGACCATCTCCGTCCAGCTATAGGTGTCCAAGTCATCTGTCGAGATTTCAAGGAGTCCTAGGACCCGTGAATCCCCGACTGAATTGGCCCACATGCGAAGATATGACTTGTAACCCTTGCTGAGAACCTTTGTGTGTTTCAGCTCGATAATTTTGGCCATCTCCTCCGTTACGAAATTGTGATTATCGTTTCTGAAGTGGTCAAGGATGTGCTCGAGTGAGGCTTCTGCTTCTTCGCGGGTAAATACGTGTGTTACTTCCATGAGGAAGGACTCGTTTTGTTGACTGTTACTCATGTCTTTGGTTAGAGGTGGTGGTGGTTCGAATGGCCGGGTAGAATAGTAGGAAGCTGTTCCTCAGAGGATCTCGAAAGTGCGTCTTCACCGAGAATTTGAAGCATACGCGGGTTCCCTTGGGTGGGCCCTCTGTCGGTGCGTAATTCTTTGTTGTGTGTCTTGAACGTTTCTCGCTGGGGAGATGGGAATCCTGTATGCGAAATATTTGGGAAAGGTGGAAGCTCTGAAGCCTCAGAGGGTGCGGAAATAGATGGCAAAACGGAGTTTATTGTTTCATGAATTTGAGGCTCGGGTGAATGAAGGAGGAAGGAAGAAGCTCTTAGCCAGGCGTCACGTCAATGTGAACTTAACGGGGGTTTCTGCCCTCTTGACCGCCTCCTGGTTGGCAATTTGAGTGACTGGCCAGCGCCCCAAGTTGGCTGCCTATTGATAACAAAGGTGTACCGGAGAAATGCAGTAATACTAGGAGATGCTAACAAATGAGGCGTGAATAGGATCTTAACGAATGGTTATACGTGGGAATAAAATATTGTCATGTTTGGCACACATGCCTCGATGTGCTGAGTGGCTGCTTCTGCCACAGAACCAAGTCGATTGGATGCCAGAGTAGACGAATCCAGGGCACAAGCAGAGACATGAATACAGGCGTTCGAGGAGAGAGTGCTTTCAATTGAAGACTAATGAAGTTGAGATGGGATCTTTCTTGATCCTTGTGAAGATATCGAGACCCCAGAAACCCATGGCGCTGGCTTTATCCAATACACTCCCCAAAAGACTCGTCCCTATCCCAATCATTGAGTCGGCATCAGCCAGAAAATGTTTCTTCTCCTCCCCTTGTCCCTTTATAAACCCTTAAGCAGGGTGAGATGACTGATAACGGCCAGATCATCCAGCAGAAATCGCCATATCCATGATCAATCTCAAATTCACCCACCCAGCGCCAGATTCCTCTCGTCCCATCAAGCCTTGTTTGTTGATTGCGCAGTGCAAGATGCTTGAGCAGCAAAAACCTTGCTTCCCTTAGGGAAGCGTGGGATTGGGCACGTTGCCGTGATGCTTGCCGGCTAAGACAAACTGCAGAGTTTCGCGATCCATGATTGGAAGTTTGATTCCCCGATTGTTGTGCCATTCCACACAATCGATGAAATTTCTCAGCATCGCCAATCCCCGTTCAAGAATAGTTTTCTGTTCAGGCGAGAGCGAGAACGTCTCCACGATTATCTTCAAGTCGCTCAGCACACCACGCATGAGCAGTGTAGACCCCCAGTAGTCCCCGCCATTAACTATGGTCGTCTCGTCCTGAGTGACGGAGGTCATGTCCTCCTCTGCTTCCTTCAGCCACTCGGCGTACTTTTGATCTTCTTGTTGATGGATCCAAGCCGAGAACAGTGCTTTCGCATCTGCGTCCATCACTCGAAGCTTCTCAGGCGTTAGGGTTGCTTCGATATCCGCATTCAGTTCTTCCGTCCACTTGCCGCGAAGGCGTAGAAGCAGTGGCTGGATCTCGGCCATGACCTCCTTTCTCTCAAGTTTCTTTTCGTGCGTGATAATAACATCTAAAGGTGGGGGATATCTTCCTGGAAAGAGGAAGTCCCACATTTCGTACACCTCTGGAGGCGGTCCTTGGATCGCGGTGGGAAGCATTGAGTTAGGTAGGTAGGTAGACAGTAGAAGAGGTTTGGATGAGAGGGAGATGATGACGATGGTGATATGAAGAGGAAGAGTGAATGGAAGAAGAAGAAAGAGAGGAGGAGAAAATGAAGAGTGACTTGGAATAAATAGAAGAAAAATTAAATGTGTGGCAGCTGTCAGGGTTAGGCAGCATCAGTGTTTGGCAACTGGCGATGATTTACGGTCGTGAGCTGAGTGTACTCTACGGGCAGCTGACAATCATTTGATACGTACCTAGGTAGGTGTATCGCTAGTATTATCAGACTCTGCCCTGATTTCAACTCAAACTAAATGGCGTTCTCCCTCGACGACTTACGAGGGGCCCAATTTTGTGGTATCTCGTTGTGAGGGAGCTGGGATTATGGCTTCATCGTTTGAGGGTGACACCTGAACTTCTTCTTCAAATTATAGTGTACGAGGCGATAACATCGTCTCAACTTTTACAGCACCTGCCTGACTGAATGGATACGCTATGGGGGCAATTGAATGTGTGAATTGCTATTCAGCACCCTAAGTTGGCCATCTAGCTCTCTAACGACTGGGTGAAGTTGGGATATCGACACTGGATGTGAAGGAAAGCCGCATCGCTACGGAGTATATTCCCCCCATTGTCTACCACTATAGCTACACTCCTCTAAGATCTGCTGTCATGAGATGTGTTTTTGAGTATATTTTTACTACGGTAACTACACTCGTCTGGAATTCGGTACTATCACTTCTATTAGATTCGCGACGTGGGATGCTGGATAGCAAAATTAAGGTGCTGAATAGGCGTTCCCGTGAATGCGGGCCATGGAATCAGAAGATGACTTGCAATTATACACCAAGGCAATTTACAAGCAACATCAACATCAAACGTAACTCAATCTGCACTCTCGATATGTATTCGCTAAGCTGACTTCAGATGTTCCCAATACCATCCATCCATCTTCATGCATTTAACTAAACACATAGCTCATCCATTTCTCAGTTCCTCCATCCTCGGTTACTTGCTTTCTCTCAAAGAAAGAGACTCATTGGTCTCCTAGACAAAAGCTGGGCCCATGCTGCCAGCATTCTCGCCGCAAACGAAGCGTCCGTCAACCAGCTTGACAGCCAAGGGGTTTCCAACTATTTCTCATTAGCATCTCTCCTCTCTGAGTAGAAAGAAAGTTGACTCACCACGAGATCCAATCTCCAAGGCAGTGAATCTTGGCATCCGGTTGTCATCCAGACAGTTACACTTGAGGTTCATGTTGTCTCCACCATGGATGTTGTCAATCGTACAAGGCCTGCAAGTAGCATCAAATCCACCACTTGAAGAATCATAACGTCAGCCTAACCATCTCAAAAAACACAATGATTCGTATTCAACTTACCCTGCTTGGTATACCAATTTACCCCCAACATTTCCGATACACTCATTCAAGTTCAAGCTCGTCTTCCACCAATCGCCAGCACTGTTCCTGCAAAGGCCATCAAGAGTCGTCATACCGACCTTTCCATGTCCTCCAAGCGTAATCTGCTCACACGTGCCATCAAAAGCAGCACCAGCGGGAACCTTGACAGCCTCCTGCGTAGCGTTCCGAGCGAGATGATTGAAGCCGGGAAGTTCCACCACGGGAGCGTCCTGACCCTGAACCTCAGGGACATGTTGGCCAACAGATTGGTCCTGAGCAGGAGCTGCAATGCTGGTACCCGCCAGGGCAAGGAAGAGAACGGCGAGAGACTGCATGATGGGAGTGAATATGGGCTTTCCCGCTGTTGGTTGGGCTTATCGCTTGTAAAATGAAATTCCGGTGGCAGTTCGTCAAGTAAACGGTGATAAAAAGAAAAACAACAAAAATCCTCAAAAAAAGAATCGAAATAACGCGAGAGAAACAGGCAGATAAATGGTAACGAAAACCCCAGGTCCAGAGAGTGAGTGGAGCAACGTCCGAGACAAGATGCAGCTGTCCGACAAACGGCGAAAAAAAGAAAAACAATATGGGGGGTAGTTGGAGCGCACAACCATGCGAAAGCCCTCTCCTGACCCCGTGCACCTTGCTCTTTGACCTCCCCGTTTGACGTGCGTCGGCTTTGCTTCGTTTGAGTTGAGCGTTAAATTAAAGTTAGTGAAACCGATAGTTTGGATATTCGGAATGAGGGATCTGGATCTAGATCTTGTTTCCCCCCTCTCGCGGCGCCTCTATTAACGTTGACAGGACAATGTCGGCATCGTGTTTGCTTGTTGGGGCATGTGGCTTGAGTATCGAGGATCCAGCCTTCGGATTGCTATTCAGGGGTATCTCTTGCAAAAGTCGCCGTTATTGTTGAAGGGGGCAATAATAGAAGGCCATCTGAATGAGAATGTTTGAAGAAGCGAGTCAAGGAAGGCATTAGTAACGTGATCTGTTCGTGCTGGATGCGACTTCCTCAGCGCACTACAGACCTCCTCTTCGAATTCGGCTCAAAATAGCCGAATAGCAATACAACAATGTAGAGGTACCAACAACCGATCATGGCTACCTATTATCGGAAGAGTGCTATATCATTCATTGTTGGTAGTTGGTAGGTTCCAAGGTTCGAATGAATGCATCAGCTGCTACTGTTGTCGTTTCAGCCTCAGCAGGGCGGCATCTCAATCACATATGTAGCTTCTTTACAGCACCAGGCTGCGTGTTGGGGACAACATTTCATCCGAACCAACACTCCATACCAACTACAAGGCATGGCAGTATAACAACTTGCTCACCAATGAAGGGGAACTGCAATGCAATCTTAAAACGTGTCTCTTCATATCAGTAACTAGTGGCTATCTTCCTGGCAAACACATAATCGTTCAGTAACGTTCTCATTCCCCTTCATGGGACATACAATCTCTTCCCGCCATCATAATCTTAAACATGAGCGCTGCCCAACTCCGCAGCTTCGTCACATCCCGTAGGATCAAAGTGTAAGGTGAAAAAATGGTAAAGAGAAGTGAAGTAAAATACAAGCCAGCCATTGGCAAGGCTCATCAAGTCCTGCTTGTAACAGTGTTCACACACGCCATCCAATCATAGGCCTGATGTAATTTGGTCACCTGTCATAGCAGTCCCAATACAACGGGGCTAGGGCGAGGCCGTCGCCTTTGCGTATGTGAATGATATATACACAGGGTAAATGAAAGTGCTGAGATCAGCTGTATAGAATAGAGAAGAAAAGGAAAAAGGAAAATCTTGGAAGAAAAAGAAACAGACACTAAAACAGAGCACAATTAGACGGCAAAAGAGGAGCAGAATGAAATTACGTCCTCAGTTGTCGCCGTGGCGCCATATTTCGTCTTTAGATACCTCTCAAAACGCCCAGCGCCACCCTTTTTTACCCAGATGTTGCGCGCAAGGCCAATATGCTTTATCGAAAATAGACAGTGACTTGGCATTGGCTGTTCCATCAGTAAGCCTGGCCAGGGACAGGCTTCCTACCGATGGGACCTGCTTGTGGTCCCGGCGCCGGCTCTGTTGGTGACGAGGTTGGTGATGGTGGGTTTGGGTTCAATGGGCTAGAAACGGGGGGGCTCCCGCTACCGCGTTGGCTCGTCGTGCTGGGGCTTTGCGGTCGGCTGCCCTGGTTCTTGGGTCCGGGGCTCATCGGGCTCATCGGGCGACCCATTGGAGACTGGGGTCGGCCGGCGCCGTTGGGGTTCATCGGACCGGCAGGGGAAGCGGGGCGCGAGCCGGGACCAGGACCCATCCGGGGAGCACCGTTGGGAGGGCCATTAGGAGCACGCATCCCTTGAGGTGTCATTGGGCGTTGGCCTTGGGGAGTCATGGGTCGCTGGCCAGAGGGTGAGCCGGGTCCCCTAGGAGGGCCGGCGGGAGGAGCTCCCTGTGGTGGTCGAGGCTTCACAGGTCGTGTAGACAGACATGTGCGAGGAACGACACCCTGTCGGGACCTATCCAGACGGATGACAAGCGCCTAAAAGTGAAGCAGGTTAGCAAAGGCCGGGGGAATGCAAAAAAAGCGGGGGGGCTATGGAATTGAACTACTCACCCAGCCATCGTCATACTCGTGCAGTAGGCGTACCAAGTCGCCCGCCTTCAGCTCCAATTCGTCCTCGAGAGAGGGCTTGAAATCGAGCTGCACGCGGTGAACAGTCGAGTTTGCAGGTCCGCCAGCCGCAGCGATTGCTGCCGCGCCAGATGAGCCCATGTCAGGAGCAGATCCAAGAGTGGCTGATGAGACGCTAAAGTCGGTACCGGCGGGGCTTGGGGGGACAGCTTCCATAGTGTTCACGGTCAGGTCAACGTTGTTCTTGTTCTTCATGGAAGCCTTGCGAGCCAACTTGGTGGTTCCAGCAGCAACGACAACTCCGGTAGCGGCAACAGCAGCGGCCACGGCCACGGTCTCCTCAGCCTTGGACAGCTCTGGCTCTGGCGCGTTCTCGGCCATAGACATGACGGAAGGCGTGTAGGGCTTGTAAGTCGGAGTCTGGGGGGTTGGCGCATCGCTGATAGGAGAGGGAACACGCTCGGCTTGCTGGCCAAAGGGGTTGGCGGGGTGGCTGCTCTGGCTCGTACCAGGCCGATCCGCACCATCACCAGTAACAGCGACACCAACAGCGCCAGCGCCAGCGACGGCGGCGGTCTGCTTCTCGAGATCCCAGCCGGGGAGGAACTGAGTGACGGGTCGAAGGCTGATGCGCGGCGCATTCGGGTTTGTGCGAACAAATGGATCCTCCAAGGGCTCCGGAGACGGCGCGGGAGAGATTTCAAACGACATTGGCGAGACTGCCCGTGCAACGGGGGCAGCAGCAGCCGTCGCAACAACGGGCGCCGCGACAGGTGCCGCAGCCGGTGTCATGACTGGTTTCACGACCGGTGCCACAACTGGTGCCACGACTGGTCGCTGCTGGACGGGAGGTGGAGGCGCGGCCTTTTCATCGTCGTCCGAAAGTTGCTCAAGCTGAGATTGCTGCTTACGACGGC